TATCTTCTGCAGAAAAAACGAAATCAAACGCGTACTAATGCAGGTCTATCCACCAGCTTGAAAAACGTAATTTCAAGGAAAGGATTACAAAGGTTTAATTCCTATCATCTGCTAAAATATGCAGTAAATTCTGCCTAATTTTCCATCAGCTTTTGAACAAAAATGGACAATTTGGAAAGAGGAGATACGATTATTCGAGCCTCGCGGCTCATCTTTATAATCGCCGATCGTCAAAAATTATAAAAACGAGGTTCATGGCTCGAATAATCATATCTCCTCTTCCCAAATTGTCAATTTTTGTTCAAAAGCCGAATGACAATTGGGGAGAATTTATTGTAATTTGTATCCATTCATGCTGTTCATCGTTCCAATATTTTAAACGCGAGAGTACAAAAGCTCAAACTATCTTATCGAGCTTAATAAATATTTTTAAAAACGTTAACCAGCTTGCGGATTTTTATACAAAATTCATATTTTTATACTGTTATTTCACAAAAATTAGAATCAGAGAAAAGTTACCTTCATCAATTGAAAGATTATTTATTCTAAAAAGAGAAAAAAAATGCTATTAGATCTTGTTAATTTATACGTCATCTTGCGCTTAAAATTTTGGCATCTCACGCGTAAATAAATAAATAATAATGATATTCTGCACATGTTATAAATGCATAAAAATTCGCAGTCTAGTAACAACAATAGAAACTGAAAAATAATGAACTGTCGTATTCTGTTTGGATCTAAATGACAGAAATATTTGAACCATGAAGTTAACAATGAACTGCAATGAGAGTGAATGTTCAAATACTTCATCACTATTCTGGATTAATTAAAGAAGCGAAACAAATCATGTTTCATTAACATGAATTTGAGTCACCCAGTTTCAATGAACTCTTAATTCTACAATTGCTTTCACTTCCACGCTAATTACAACTTCCTCGTCGTTAATAAATTCTTACAAAAATAAAAAAAAATTTGCATTTATCGCATGCTACTAGATCTTCTTAATTTATACGCTTATTAATTGAAACATTAACCCTGATTCATTACTGAAGCGCAGCTCTCTGTGCTTGAGTCATTTCTGACTCACACTGATTTCTATTAATGCATATTTGCTGCCCGCCCCTCTCTTGCTCGCCATAACTCCGCCACAATAGATGGATGATTAAGGTTAAATTATAGAAAAATTCTAGCTCCTTAACAAGCAAAACACACAACTGTTCTACTTGTTCATCTTAACCGATGTCAGAAAGTGAACAAAACAAAATCACGCGCCTATTTAACGTACATCTTACTTTCACGATCGGCTCGACGCGTAATTTGAGTTCAGAATGAATTTCTGTAAAATCATGTCGTACCGGCAGTTGTTTGGTCAGCGAACAGAGAATAAAGTTGATGGAAATTGAAGGGAACGCGTGTGTATACGCGCACGCGAAAACTTTCTTCAACAAACTTCCGCTCGCGGTTACGATCAACATAATGTAACTTCGAAACGAAATGCATAAAATTATGAATGAATCTGCGTACAAAGCTATTCATTCGACCACGGAGCGGTTAATACCCTGTAGCATCGAAGGAAAAGTCGTACGTTTTAACGAGGTCTAACTTTCCACGCGAGCGTCCTTTTTTTTTCTTGTAGTCACACCTGTAGCGAGCAGTCGCGCCATGTTTCTTTACCTCACTTTTCACCTTTTTCTTCCTTTTGCAACGAACCCCTCCTCGTAATTACGTATCCTTTGTCGACCGTAAATTAATTATTCCTACAGCTCCCGCGCGTAATTTACAAAATGTGTAAACACTTCGGCGTAAAGTATAAAGCGATAGTTTTTTTTTCTCAGAATGTACAACGGAAGAGATGAGTTATCCGCGTGCATTACGTCCGAGACGTTGAACGCTTTTCTTGCCTTGGGTTATTAATGAACTTCTAAATACTGTTACTTATTCATCGATGTTTAAAAACTGACCGAAGTTTTCCCCATTGGAATATCGGTCGTGAGAAATTTGTGATAGATTCTTGTTAATTACAGCATTATGAAGTTTCTTAAATGAACTCCGCCAGGTCGAGTCAATTATTATTAGTCAATCATTATTAGTCATTGTCCAGTAGACTGTTATTTAAAACAAAAATTCTAGCCGTTTAGTCGAAGTTTTGAAAGGTATACTGCGTTTTAAAAGATGTCTGTATACATTTGTCCGGTGCTATATTTTATTATTTAATACA